TCTTAAAAAGGTTTGTCTTCCATTCAGGGGGAATCGGTGACATATGCTATTCCCTATTCTAATTTACCTCAGAAGAGATATCAATGTAAAACACAGTAAGCTGTCATCTTCTTCTATTTCCTTTTGCACAAATGCTTTTGCTCAGCTGGAGGGTTTTTTGTTGTAAAAGATTAGGGTGGAAATGCCAAACTCATCTTTTGTCTGAGCAGCTATTTGATCCTCATATTGCTACTCTACAAGTGAAGTTTGGACAAATGATCGCTTGCTTTGAGGCAGAAAATGGTACATAATGTTTCAGACCTAGTTAAGTCTGCAATTGTAAAAGAAGCCTTCAAGGAAGTTTTATAACCATGCCATCTTCTCATAAGTTGGTGTGCATTCTTAGGAGAACTAAAAAGATATAAATTAATCTTTCGCTTTTTGTGTGTTGTTGACTTTTCCCATGGATTGTTCACTGGATCCATTCACAATCATGTAGCCTATTGGTACACTTTTGCATTCTGTCATCTTCATGGACAACGGGGCATTGTGGGATAGTGTTTGATGAGAAAAAGAGAAGAGTCAATAGCATTTCATCTAGAGCATACCAATTCCCACTGTAGGATTAAATCCAATATTGCTTGAGTTAGTATTTTGCTATTTAATGACACTAAAATAACAGCTCCAGATGACAAATTCTTCCTTGTGAATCTATATCATGAACTTACTGAGCAGATTTTTAATTGCTGTTCTATTTCTTTTACTTTGTTGCATCAAGCTGATTGTCATACCCCAATGTGTCAGCATTAACTCATAAAAACTGTTTTCTATTTAATGGCTAGCTTTGACCAGACTGAATTGTACAGAGTCATTGTAGTGGTATTATTACTCCCTTGGAGACTGCAGTTTCCCAAGCTGTCATGATTTTTGTTAAATGAACTGTGGATTTAATAGAAGCAGATGTTTAACAACAAAATATAATACATCTTGTATTTGTTCTGCAAAATATGTATCTCAGTTTTGTTTAAAAGACAATCTCCAAAAGCAGAATTTGCTTGTTTCTACCATTGTTGTAGGCAACGGCGTATCACAGCGCTTAAGCACTAAAGGAAATAATTGATATCTTAATTTGAAGGAAAGTGTTGTTTGTGTCTCAAATTGAATATCTTATGCAGAAGGTAGTCTATAACAAGTCCTTTACTGATATAACCTGTTGGAACCGGAGGTAGGTTATTCAGCTGAGAGTTTTCAGGCAAAGTAAATTTCTTGAGAATTTGGAAAGTAATAGCCCTATTAGATCTTTTGTAAGGAGAAAGCATGACTCACAACTCTATTGGAGTATTTGGAAGAATAGCATATGGCTAAGGGAAGTCCATTTGCTGTGTGCTATTTGACTATCCAAAAATGTGTTCAACTATTTCCTTTCAACTGATGAAAGAAAGTAAATTGAAAGATTTTCTTGTAGAATAATGTCTGATTAAAAATAAGACCTAGGAGTGGGTAAATGGGCAGTTTTAACAGAGGAAGGAGCTTACTCACAGAGCCCTAGCAAAACCTCTGCTGCAGTCCTGACTATTCAGTAAATAAGAAAGATACCAAAATGTTCTGGTAATTTAAGAAGTCTTCTTAGCATTATTGAAATGGCCTGAGGAGTTTTTAAAATATCTTGAAAATCACATTGACCTGACTATGAAACAGAAGCATAAATTCAATGTGGTCAAATTCAAGGAAAGACTAGTCAAAAAAAACTCTAGTGGTACACATGGAGGTATCTTAAGTCTTAGGAAGAGATAGCTTTGGATGGGCTTCCTCAAGACTCATTTGCCAGGAAAATTTCTCAATTCATCAGCACTGCTCCAGTCAGAGCAGGATTGCATTGCAAGTTCTGTGGTTTGGACCTGCAAAGGACCTGTTGGTCTTGAGCAGGATGAAGTTTTATCTTAATCCAAGCTTGCCACCTCATGAGAATGATCTGATGTCCTTCAGGACAGTGAAAAAAGATGGTCCTCTAAAGACAGGTCTTAGTGGTGGGTACATACATATTACATTGTAAGGCTAATGTTGTTTAGAAATTATTGTCCAGCCTCATATTTCCTATGCATCTCATGTTGTTATGCTTGAACTGCACACTGAAGTAGAAAGTATCTCTAATGTGGTAATTTTATTTTTAGGAGAGGTAAATTTTGTGTTTAACTCACATTGAAAAACTGACAAACATGACAAACAAAGACTGAAACTGCAATTAAAATAAGACGCTTGTACAATGAAGTATGTATTCCCTGAAGGTAGAGATTTGCTTTGGATTTCAGGAATAATCCTCCTAAAGCTAAGGAAGGTAAACACTTCTGACTATATTTGGTCATAGCTGACAAAGTAGAGTTAAGTGCTGTACTTGGCAATGTGACTGCCTTCAATTTAGAAAGGAAGATTCTCCTTTCTCTCGTAAGGAATTCAGACATATTAAAGTACCTTTTAGTGCTTCTAAGCATGAGAACAAACAACAAACATGCTTTCAAAACAAAACTTTCCACAAAAAAGAGGCTGATAAGCGTGGTGCACACCGGGGCCCTGTGCTTGTGCACACATTTTTCCTGTTAGATCACTGGATAACATTAGCAGGGCTGGCTGGTGTACTTATCCCTGTGCTCCTCACCATGAGATGAGAATATATACATAGAATATAGCATATATATACAGAATATATATGCAGCTGTTAGGGGTAGCTTTCATGGTAAACAGGAATCAGTCCTGTATGTACATGTGTGTGTTTGTGTGTGTTTGTGAGTTACACATACATATAGACACCCCTGTGTGCGGTGTCCTTGCCTTTATGAAATGACAAAGATATTTTAATAAGTAAATATAAGAAACTTTTGAAAACACACAATTTTCTTAGGAAAGTAGAGTGGTTTACCTCTGGCTTGCAAGCAGATGTGGCAGTTTATACACCAAAGGAATTTATTCTGATTAGATGAAAAGATTTCAGAAACAGAGCTAAGATTTGAACAGGCCTTTCAGTTTTCTAAGTAATGCATGACAACACAATGTAAAATGACACTTTTCCAACATACGTGGGTTTTTTGAATACATCCTGTATTGTGCCTCTGTATGGTGGTGACAAAGAATTTGTTTTCTTCCAGCACTACTATGCGTCTGGCACAGCAGCAGGAGAGAGCTGTATTTTGTTATATTTTGTGCTGCATCAACAGAGTTATAAGTCGAGTGCTGAATGCACTCCCTTTCTTTTTGGGTGATGCATGACACAGAAAAGTGGAACTGGGACTTCAGATTCTAGCTGAGCCTTGTGGGCTGTTAAAAACGTGGATGAAATCATCACACAGTGCAAGTCAGTCATTAATTTCAGTGGGGCCAGGATTTCACTTAAGCGTATCCTGAAAGTAAATAAGGTTTTGTATTTAAGTAACACGTTCAGAACCCTACTTGTCTGTGGGTTTTGGTTTATCTTCTCAGAGCGCAAGCATGTACTTGCCCATGGTCCTTGATCTGTAACCAACTTAAACATGCCATTTCATTTGTATTTGTCTCCATTATCAGTGACAAGGAATACCCAGGCATTGTATTGCCAGTGACTCCCAGCTCTGTCTCCCTGCCTCAGCTTCTGCCAAAAGGACCAGATTGCACTGGTCACTTTTTCTTCTCTGTACCTTTAAATTAATGAGGAATTAAATTATTTGTGACTTTCTGCCCACTTGCTGTAAGGATTTCATAGCAATACCATTTCAGAGTTCATTCTTGGGTACTGCTTAAGGGGAAACACTGCCAGGTTTCTCAGACAACCTAGAGTGTAAGTAAACATCTGCTCTGTTGTGTTCAAAACTGTTGGAGTGCAAGTTGACCCACACAGCAGATCTTTTGGGCAACTGAGCAAGATTGGCTGCTACAGTAGTTCTTGCAATTAGCTTATCTTTATACTCTGCATCAAAATTGAGGAAAAAAAATATCATATTTACTTGAAAGTGGTTGGGGGTATATAAAAGTGGGTAGACTGCCAATTATTTGCATATAATGAATTTTTAAAAATTTCACGCGGTGCTAACAATAACTGAATGCCTTTGTTCCTGTACCCAAAATGGAGTGGCTTCAGAAAACAATGTATGCAGAAATATCTTGACTTTAGAGATTACAAGTATTTCAGGTGTAGAATGAGCATAAGCTGGAACATAGGAGGTTCCACTTAAATATGAGAAAAAACGTCTTCACGGTGAGGGTGACAGAGCCCTGGAACAGGCTGCCCAGGGAGGTTGTGGAGTCCCCTTCTCTGGAGATTTTCGTGACCCGCCTGGATGCTCCTGAGTAACATGCTCTGACAAGCTCTAGGCAATCCTGCTTTGGCAGGGGAGTTGGACTAGATGATCTCTATGGTCCCTTCCAACCCTAAAAATTCAGTGAAATTCAGTGAAATTAATGATGAATACCACACTAAATACCATTTGAACGTTACATTTATATATTTACATTGTGGTTTGCTGATTAGATGTATTAGATCCTTAACTATTTTTAATGTAACTGAACAATATAATGTGTCTAGTTTCATATTTCTAAAGATAACTGCAATAACAGTATGTACTGTATTGGCTAAATGCTAACCTCTATGGCAAGAGCTGCAATATGGACCTTCGCAGCACTTACAGAATTTTAAACTTGTTTTTAGCAATTATTTCAATATTTGAATCTAAGGATCATTTCCTCTCATTGTATCTGTAGAACCCAAACCACAATTCTTCAGATAGAATGAACTAAGAGAAATTGAAAGCTTAATCTAGTTCATTAATTTTGCAATGGGAATAGTTATTTACAAGCAATATTTTTCTAGGGTTTATTTATTTATTTATTTTTACAAAGGGAAGATGCTACTCAAGTGTTTTAAATCTCTTCTAATAACATATTTGATGTGACATTTGGGACCTATTTGTATGCTATTTGTAATCACAGCCACTTGGGACTCAGAAGAGTTGATCATTCCAGTTCCAATATTTTTTTTTTCTTGTTTCCATTCTCAGGATGCTCTGGCCCACTAGGGATAGAAGGAGGAATTGTGTCAAACCAGCAAATTACTGCGTCCTCCACTCATCGAGCTCTTTTTGGACTCCAGAAATGGTATCCATACTATGCACGGCTTAATAAGAAGGGTCTTGTGAATGCTTGGACTGCTGCAGAAAATGACAGATGGCCATGGATTCAGGTAACAGATGGAGCTGAGGAGTGAAAAAAAATCTTCTTGATTCAATTGCCAGAGTCACTTAAGAAACTGATGAAGACAAGTGGTAAACTAAGAGATAGATTCTTATTCACTGTCAGAAATGTAGCCTAGACTAAAAGGGACTATTTAGTTGCAAAACACTAATAATCTTGAGTTTACAAATGCACAAATCTTTTTATTTTAAAAAAGTGTGCATATGTTACATTGTGGCTCTAAACCATGGAAGCAAATTTATAAAGATTCTTCACAAGGAAGCTGCTTTCCACATACACTACATATGCTCATTAGGTCCTCAGTGGCATTTCACAGCAATACCTCAAGTTGGAGATACTTTGACACATGCAGCCTTCCTTGGGCGTTGTTCTAGAGTGCTTTAATGTGATTTTGGCTCTACCAGAGCCCGCAGGAGTAGTTTGTCCTCTATGTTGAGCTGCTCTGGGCACACAGGTTAAGCATTGTGTGCATCATGCTGGAAGTAACAAGAACTGTTTTAATTAAGGCTGAAATAGCTGCTACTTCAACCAAATCCATGGGGCTGAAAAGACACATTTTTTTCACTTTCACTCAAGGATGTTATTACTAGAGTAATTCAAATGGCAGTGCCCTCTTTGTGGAATGGGTTTTTGCACCCAGCAAATTACTTCAGTAAAAGTCATGAAGCAGGGAACATGAAGTCCTGTGGCTGTATTTTAATGAAGGCAATTATTACCTAGTGAGTCGTGTAGCTCTTTACGTTTATGGTGTTTTCCTTTCATGATATGTGACTTGGGCTAAGCTATGGCATTTTCAGCTGCTGGTTAACAAAAGCGATGTTAGACATCTATGTGAAAACCTTTTGTATTAATCATTAAAATCAGTATGTGAAGAGGGTTCTTCCCTCCCCATGAACCCACCACAGGAGCAGCAGAAGATGGTATATGACCATCATGTCTACCAGCCCTAAGGTGAATATGTCCCTTGAGCATGTTAGACACGCTCTTCATGAAGTTACCTTCATGTACATGGCATAATTTTTGTTCAAGTTTTTGTACTGACTACCATTTGTGATTTTTCTGAGCAGATGTTTGGTAGAAAAGTGTACAGGATTACCTGTTCATTTTTCTTGTCTGGACACCAGGCACAAAACGCTGTTTGATTAAGTTTTCTGAAGCTGGTGTGGTGAGAATGCTGGATTTTGTCAGTTCTGAAAAATGAAGCCAGTGTTACTGTTTGTTATTCACTGCAGAGCAAAAACACAAAGGCCCTTCAATGTATCTTAAGTCAGTTTCCTTCCATAAAGACCAGAGGGGTTAGGAAGTCTGTAAAATTTATACATTGAAAAAGAACTGGAAAGAATAACGTTAAGGGACTTGAGCAGAATTATTTTCACAGGAGTAGAAAACTAATCTAACTTTAATGGATAATGAAATAGTCAGTGTTACAGTAGCTTCTGGGCTGTTTTAGAGTGTGGGCTTTATTAAATGAGCTGCAGAAAAAAAAGCCAAATCATTTAGCACTGGCCCCCATGACACATCTTTCCTAGAAGATGAACTGGATGGGGATAGCTAATTGTCTGTCTCGTCCACATTTCTACTTGGCAAAGCCACCACTCACTGTGGAGGTGGCTGTCAGGCAGCTGTGCCAGTTTCTACCCAGACCAGGGCTACATCTGCCTTGAAGTTTGCTCCCAGGGAAGTCTTCCCTTTGCTCTTACCTAGAAGGAAGGTTAGTCCAATGTAGAAAATGTGTCTAAAATCTCATCCCAGGGTATCAGGTTTGAACAATTTGTTCTTTTCTTAGAGCTAATTGCCTAATCTAAGTAGCACCAGTCCCATGCAGGTTATTCTCTAATTTTAACAGCCAGAGTATGAAAGGACTTTTTAGAAGCCAATTAAGTTATATGATTAATGTGTACTAAGCACCTAGCATTCTCTTCTCTTTCTTCTCATTTTTCTTTAAAAATTGACTTTGGTCTATAATTTTCACAAAAATTGTTTTTCTTTTCAGTTCAGAGTAAAGCTTTGTAATTTAAAAACAGAAGCTTAATTCTTGAGATAATTTTTTTCCCCCTTTTCTGAAGACTTTTCTGCTTAAAACACCTGGGAACAGAAAATCTAAATTTGTCAGAGAGATGATACTTGTAGAGAAAAAGTGCTTTTTAGTCTTCTGCAGAAACCCTGTTTTGATTTGGCAAGGATACAGACCTTCACAAACTGACATTTTATGTACTGCATAGTAGTTCTTTACATGAGAGTACTGTCTTGTTCTTCAAGCATGAAATACACTCTTAAGAGACTGACACTGCCTGACCCTTATATGGGTGAACAGTTTCTGTTGAGAGAAAAGGAGAAGCAGAAATCCCATATCTTATTTTTGCCCAGCTTCTGTAATGGCCAGGGAGATACTTCATAAGCATTCGTGGAAGGTTACAAAAAGTCAGCCCACTCTGATTTGTGCTAAGCTTCTGACCACCTTCCTGCTGGCCTGATAGGAGAAATGTTCCCTCTAACAAGAGCCTACTCATAGTTTTTACCTTGTTTATGATATTTTCAGCTTCTTCCCAGATCCTCATGTGAGGGGTCTGTAACCTTTTCCATGCTGGTCTGAATGACAAAGCAGCTGGTCCAGAAGATTGCTTCCGAAAAACTGTGAATGTTTGGCAGAGATTAAGTGGAAAGTTACAAAACCAGAAACTCCATTTTTAGGAGATGTAAATTGGCATTTTGTGCAGTGAACCTGAAGCAGTAGCCTGTTAATCTCTTATAGTTTCTAATGCTAGATAAATTCTAAAGGAAACTGTATATAATGGGCAAACTCCCCCGAAGTATACATATGTAAAGGCCTGTAGCTATTTTTGCCTTCTTCCATCATTATCAATTTTCTTTGTCGTTTAATTTCTTTATTTATATGCAGTGTGGCAAATGAAAGGTTTGAGTGCTTTGCTTATAACTCACTTGTAATGAGTGCAGAGTTTTTTCTCTAATCTTTCAGGTGTCTGACACACATGAACTAATTAGTATGCAATTTCATTTTCCTGCATTCTCCCAATGAACTGAAAATTGAAATTGCCATTTTAAATTTACACTCCTAGCATGTAATTAGTAATGGCACTACAATGCTTGTAATTGGCTTGTGATTTAAAGGGTCAGTGACCATGTTTCTGAAAGCAAATTAAAGTCAGAGTAAGTCATATCTCCTTTTTAAAGTTCTGCTGACCTCTGTTTCTCCTCATAGTTGGCTGTGATAAAATAGCACCTGTATATATTGTTTACCACTATGTTAGTGACATTAACTTTTCATTAATTATTCATCAGATATAACCAAAATGGTCATTTTTACTTCTTTGTCAAAACTCTTTTTTTAAGAGAGTACTGATTTCTCTTTTCCATTTTTTTCCATTTACATTCATGGCTGCAATATAGGCTGTTTCTTCTTATTCTCATTCCACTTCATCTCTATTCCCTCCTTGCACATATCTATATTCTTCTTGTCATATCTATTTTTTCTTAAGGCAGAATGGACCACAATACAGATGGTCATGGGCAGTACTGTTGCTTTTATTCTCTCTCTTCCATATCTAAAGCCACAATAACTGTTAATCCCTAATGCAAACCTTCCAGCAGGACCTTCTAAATGTTACTCCTCTCTAGTGATTTCTAACATATATCCTTAGATATTTCTTTTTCTCTCCCAGTTTCACTTCCCAGAATGAATATTTCTAATATAATTTTTCCTCTATTCCTGGCTGGTTTCCTTTTCCTTCCATAAAATATTATCTTTTTTTATATCACTGCAGTTATTATTACTGTTACACACAAAGACTTCAGCCATGGTGGATATGCCAAGAAATGCATAAAGAGGAATGTCATGAAGAACTCTGTAAGAGAAGATAGAATAATTTGTAATAACTAGCATTGTGAGGACTTGTTTTACAGTACCAAAATGCTAAGTTTGCCATTAAAATGTATCAATAACTTTGGCAGAAGGATGCTCTCATAGGGATGAGAGAGCAAGGTGGATGAACATTCTCCTGTAAGATAATAGTCTTGCTTCTTTAGACTTTTAGAGCAGTCCACAGATGAACCTTCCAAAATGTTAATTTGCCCAACAACAGAAAGATTTATACCACCTATATCAGGGAGCCCAGAGCAGAGAAGGAGCTCACAGCAGAGCTTGAGCTGGGCTAGGTTGGGCAGTCAGTGCACCAGAGACCATAAGATATCAAACTCAGAAATACATCACAGTCTCAGAAGTAATAAGGTGGGTATAGGCATAGAAGAGGTACAGGGTAAAAGGTATCAGATTTAAGGCAAAAAATCTGGGTGTAAATCTGTGTGCAGTGAAATCTGGTAGGAAGTAAAGATTGGCACAGTTGGCAGAGATGATGTTTTGAGTCGGGATGGGTCAGTGACAGTTTTGATTAAGGAAAGGATGAGGTAAAATTGATTTTCTGGTCCTGGCTGTGACCAGTTGATTAAGAAAGGAGTGGAAAGCTCAATGCCTGCTGGTTCCCATGCAACCTCTGCTGTTGCACCATGACTGAGTTTTGATGTCTGAGAACAAGAGATTCCTTAATTTCTGCTTGTCTCCTGGGTGTGAATGTGAAGAGGATTCCTGTGAGGAATGTGTCTGATGATGCAATAATTTGAGTGGTCTACAAGAGACTACCAGCTCTTTTTAAAGTGCTTTGTGGTCTAGACATGGATTTTTTACAAAGTCAGTATTAGCCACAGCCACCATGAGCAGATTTGGGCATACTTACATCTGGTGAATAGTAGGAAAATTAACTAATTACTAGGTATCATACCAGTGTGTGGGAACTATGATTGAAGACCTTAACTGTTGCTGGAAACTTGTTGTATATAAATGTAAGTTATTAAATATAAAAATAAAAAAGCTATTTTATTATTTCTTGTTAAAACAGTAAGAATGATTTCTCCAGAGACATAAGTATGGTTGCCAACTGCCTTTTAAATAAAATATTCAAATACTTAATTTTGTTA